CTGTGGTGCTCGAGCTTAGATATTACTATTAACAGCCAAAATCAGTTTCAGTAACCTTAGTTTTCTTAATTGCATGTTGTCCTTTAAGCTGGTATGAACTGTACATGTCAGTCTTTTGTCTTGAGATTTAAGCATGGGGTCACAGAATGATAGCAAAGAGATATGTGCTGTAGGAGGGGCTTCTCGTCTTGTTTTTGTTTTTTTCAGATTGTTCTGAAACTAGCTTATACTTTTCTTTTGACATGACATTTTCTTATGACATGAGATTGGAATAAAAGGTATTTAACAAAGACCATCACATATGTTAACCTATGTCAAAGCGTTCAAACAGAGTAATACTGTATGTAATGGAGCTTGAGTGAGTAGTGAGTGACACACAGGGACGGATGTTGAGTACTGGGAACTCTTGGTTATTTAAGGAGTTTGCTTTGAAGTCTCAAAAATATGTTGATATAAAATTGATAATACTAGAGCGGCAGCTGCACTCCGTTCTCCCCTGGAGGCTCCACCACAACCTGCCACTGTACATAAGTCACAAATGTCAGCTCTGAACAGCTGAATTTTATACATTTACCACCCGGGCCACATTTATGACACAACTAACATGCTTCATTAGACAGTTTAAAGTTTGCGGGAATGGGGAGATGAGGAGGATTATAGAGAGAGTGGTGACATGAATGAAAAGTTACATGACTGATGGATTTTAACTTGTTGTACTTGACTGAGTGTTGCACTTGGCCAACTGAGATACTGCAATGACCCAGAGATGCCCTTTCAGAAGTATGTTTTTAACCACATTTATGCTTCATTAGACACACATTGCACAAGGAAAGGAAGTGACAAAGATATGAGTGGGGGGATTTACCAAGCAACACATGATTTAAGCCAGTACAACAGTGCCCTTAAAGATAATTCTTCCCCCTGAACCTTTAAGAGTCTGTGCATGCAATTGATTTAAAGGGTGGAGGACTACAACAGTTTAATGGTGACTTTCCCCAGTTTGTGGTTAGAGGTTTGGCACCACAGGTTACTCTGACCCCAACAGGTGAATAGATCTGTCTTGTCTGCATATCAAGACTTTCGCTTAAGTTGCTATTATCCAGGTTATATTTAGAAATATATAGGGGACCCAAAAAAAAACCCAAAAACTGAACATTAGTGGCTAAAAAAGAAATATAGCAGTCTAAGCATGCATTTGGTTGAAATGTTAAAGTCAACTGATTTGTCATAAGCA